AAAATTTCTAGTAAGCAAATAAATCGCTAGCTCCCTCGCCCCCAGAGACAGAAGCTGTGAGTTTTATGCCTCAGTGCGTTTGCAGCGCCACCAAATGGATGTCTATTGTTGTTGTTGTCGTGCGTCAGTCAACGTCGTCGTTTTTATTACAGGTGTGTCTGAACAGGTGCATAATCAATGTGAATTTCTGTGCGAATTGAGCGCAAGTAGCTCGCCTTTGCAGCCTCCTCCACTCAGCTGCTATGGTCAGTTAATTTATATATGTATATACGTATATCTCGACATGCTCTTATATAGTTTTTCTTATATACATATGTATATGTATATTTAAATACCTTTCTCGCATTTTTTATTTATTGCAAACTTTGCACGACATTCACAGCAAATGCAAATGTGGGAAAACTAGACCAGAAAACTAGACTAACAACAACAGGCATAACTGACAGTTAACATTAAAATAGAACATGTTGAGCATTGGAATTATCCTGTAACTTGGTCTGGACGGGCATCTAATATACTTACATTTAAAAAAAGTCTCTTTCTAAACCTGAATTGGGCTCAAAAAAGGTTTTAATACTAGATAATCTGTAGTTAGATTTGAGAGGTGGCTTCTCTGCTTAATTTCTCGGAGTAATAATAGCTGCAATTAGCTGAGAAAAAAAATGGAAAAGGTCTTAGGGAAATATATAGGGCAAGTTGTGAGAGATACATGTCTAAAGTTGTAAATCGCTAGCTTAAATAGGAAGCGTATTCAAAAATAAAAAAGTCAATTAAGAGTGCTCCAGTCGGGAGTGCCCGCCTAGGAAATACCCTGAATCTTCTTATTTTTTACCCAACACCAAGTGCAATTTAAAATGAAAGATACTTGATCTGTGTATACTATTCTAGAAGCTACAAGTCAAATTTGGTGACTCCAGCTCTTAAAACCAGCAGAATTTCGATATCGATTGTTATCGATTGCTTGGAAACAAGGCAAGTTATCGAATATCGAAAACAAACTCACGCGCGTGGGCACTAGGTTCAAAGCTCCAAGTCTCTAGTTCTTATAAGCTCTGAGGTTGAATGCGTTCATAGATACGGACGGACAGACAGACGGACATGGCTAGATCGACTCAGCTATTGATGCTGATCAATAATGAATATACCTTATGAGGTCGGAGATGCTTCCTTCTGCCTGTTGAGTACATTTGCAGGGCATAAAGATTCAAAATAAAAATTATAAAGATTACAAGCAACATATATTTATTTCACAAAACCAACATACTCTTTTGCACCTTTGCGAGCAGAGTATAGAATGCATTTATAGATCAATTTTGTTAGTTTTTAACTTAATTTGAAAAACTCGCTAAATTTGCTAGGATTATTTTTGGAGGTTTCCACTGATTCTCTCAAAGTTGCTCAAAGGTGCTCTGGATTCTGTTGAAGAAAAGAAGAGAAGAAGAAATATATGTAAACTTTATATACTTTATATACTTAAGTATATACCCTTAAAAATGTTGTGCACTTGTTTGTGTTTGCTGAAAGTTTATTCACACCTAAAACGTGTATTTACAGAGAATCGCATGTGTCAATCGAATTCAATAAATAAATAAATGTCTTAAATAAACAAAATTATTCTGAATCGTAAACTAAAAGAAATGTTTGTTGGAAATTCAAGACGGAAATGTGAAACATTTGCCGCAGAATGAACTGAATTTCCAAGCTATCAGCGAAAAGTATATGATTCGAATGTACATTCAATGACGAAGAATTTCTGCTTGGCTTCGTTTCGATGGCCCGGGATGAACGCGAGTGGCTACTGCATTGATAAGGCTGATTGCATTGATAAGGCAACTTGTGTGTTTCCACACACGCGTAATTGCATCATCGATAAGAACGAGAAAGCGCGCGTGCCCTCCCTCCCCCCAGCAACAACAACAACAACGACGACAACATTAACAAATAAAGTGTGACTAATAACAATATGATAATAACAAATTTATATACGATATGATAATTCAGAGTTCCGTAACAATGTTCCTCGACGTTTTGCGAGTCGAGCGTTTGAATGGCAATGCCAAATATAATAGAAACGAGCTGCGACCAACTGTGACTTTTGCCCAAAGTGTGTAAAAATGCTAACTAACTATAACTAACAATAATAATAAAAGAACAACAACAACAAGAACGAGAGCCGACTACAACAAAATTAACATTAACACAAATCGCGTGCTAAGCAAATAAAACCAAAGATCAACGCGAGCTGCGTTGAGGGAAGCAGCCCTTGGAATATGTTCGACGTGCCGCCCAAGTGTCCAGCGCTGGCTAACAAATTGAGCGGCCTCTTTGGCTGGCGCCACACCTACAAAGTGGCCGCCAAGCATGAGGGGATACCCCATGGCAACCTGCACAAATCCTACTCTCTGACGCTGCCCAAGCGGCCCCCATCGCCGAGCTATGCTTGCGTGAAGGTAAACTCTAGCCCTAATCCCTGAACAGAACAGCGCGAACTAATTCAACTGTGACCCACAATCAAAACTTGACGCTTTTCGACATGTCCCACGATAAGACACGCCCACAACATACACACACACACACACACACACACACACGCACATAAACGCCCACATAGTTCGCTCCACATACATATGCAAATATTTATGATATACGATCCATTGTTTGCCCATCGACGCATCATTTTCATTGACAAATGACCATAAAGAAACAATCAACCATTCAGATATGTATTCAGATATGGTATATCAACAATGGGCAAAATATGAAGAATTTTCGTTATAAAAACACATTCGTAGGAATTCAACAGAAAGTGAATTGATTTTATAATACATTTTATTCAGCATAGTTCTTTAATATAAACAAACCGATAAATCTGCTAGCATATCGATAAAACATTTATTGCCACTCTAAAGAAAGCTTTATTCCGATCATATTGCGTATTCGTGTCGTACACTTTTTAAAATGTTATCAAGTATTCAAAATAGATCCCATTGCCCAAACAATTAATTCTTTCTAAATAATCAATAATCGATATATATCTATATCAATAGTCGATATATTACGATTATTTATCGATCATTTTAAATGTCACAATATAAATTATCGAACAAGAATGTACCATTACAAGGAGCTACTTATTAAAGATTCCATTGATCTGATAGAATTACCTTTTGTAAATCGTTAAATCGAAGCAGGTATATTGCTTTTATACCCTTGCCAAGAGTATTACACTTTTGTCATTAAATGTGTAACATAGACTAGAAGATATTTTGAGCACATCTTATTAACATCGAACCTCTATAAAGATCTATAAGTTTTGGAATGAAAAACTCTTCCTTGTTTTTTCTGCTTCCGATATCCTAACCAAACGTTTGCTTTGCATATAAACAGAATCCTCTCAAAATCGGACTAATATATTATGGCTCCTATCCTATCTTTAAGAGTATTTAATTCTCGACGTGCCAAGTATTTTCAAAAATATAATTTGGTTTGGGGCTTATCGTTAAAAATACATACACGATTTAACTTTAAAAAAAATTAATTAAATTGATGTTGATATTTTGAGTTATCAACGTTTAGTTTTTGATAAGTTTTTAACCGATTTTTGCACACGGTGCACTTGCTGAAACGGAAAATAAACAAAAGGAAAATCAATTTGTTTTCATTTTTATACTCTCGCTGCTGCAAAATCGATAGAATTGCAATCTCGGCCACGCTCTTTGACCCATAAATCCAAGAACAACAACAACAACAACCACAACATGGTTTAGTTTTTTTAGGTTTCTGTCGGGGGCGCTGTCAGTGCTGGCAAGTGGCGAAAATTAAAAGCGAAAACTAGAAAACAACCTTCCAAATTATTGCGCCAAGTTGACGTTCCAGTTCTCCAGTTCAGGGAGCGAAGCGCACGCTCTGCTGCTTCCATGACTGGTTTCAAGCCATGATGCAATTGTTGTCGTTGTTGTTGGCCAGTTTTCGGCATTTGGCATTTGTGTGTTCGGAATTCAATGGAATGCCAAGCCAACAATGACGCCAACTTGATTCGGTTTGCCGTTTTTTTTTTTTTTACTTTACGTTGGCCCGCTGCAATTTTCGTTTTGCTTTGGGAGCCTGGAGGTCGTCGCTATTCTTCAACGTCTCTAAATGGCTTTCCCAAGCGGCTTATGGACAGCGCCGAATCACCTGAGCTGCGTCAATGACTCAACACATGGCCAATTGGGCAATTGTCTTTCGAGGCCCGGAAACGTTAAGCGCGAATTGCATTCTCCCAGGCTCGTCTTTGGCTTGAGATACGAATGTAGAAATTCCATAGCTTGGGGTTCAAATGGTTCCAAAAACGTGAATCTAGATATAAAATTGATGGAAATATTTCTTACCCTCGATGAAATCCGATTAACAAATCAGCGTAACTAGAGCTACAAATTTGCAAGCGGAACTAGCTCATAGATTGTTAACGAACCAATGAACTTCATTCAAGAAATGTTAAGTCAAGAAATAACATTTATTTTTCCAATAATTGCATTAAAATATAACTAAATATAAATATAACCCAATACGTGAACCTAGGTATAGGATTGATGGAAATATTTCTTTCTCTCGACGAAATCAGATTAACAAATCAGCGTAACTAGAGCTACAAATTTGCAAGTGGAACTAGTTCAAGAAATGTTAAGTCAAGAAATAACATTTATTTTTCCAATAACTGCATTTAAATATAACTAGACAAGTTCACATTCAATGACCAAATATGTGAACTAGTTCATAAAAAAACTACATAAACAATATTTGGAACTAGCTCTTTTGTTGCTCATAGAAAAATAAGGGTTATTGAACCATGAACCACTTTAAACATGAATATTAATATTAATAATATTAATAAATATTCGTAATATTTTCTAATACTTAACTAGAGGAACTAGTTCGAAAATCTGTTAAATTGTTCATCATTAAATATATTTAAGATTTCATATTAACGCTCTTCCCTATTTGGTCTTATGTGTTTTCAGGAAGCCGACTCCTGGGTGGCCGTGCATCATCTGCAGACGCAGTCGGGCATTTTGGATCCCGATGATTGTGTGCGAGATGTGGCCGATGATCGGGAACAGATATTGGCCCACTTTGAGGACTCTGGGCCCGATCCGGGCGTGCCGCAGGGCGGCGGCGATGGCGCCTCGGGCAGCTCCTCGGTGGGCACGGGCTCGCCGGACATATTTCGTGATCCGACAAACACAGAGGCGCCCACGCGCGATCTGTCCACCCCGCACATTGAGGTGACCAGCACCACGTCCGGTCCACTGGCCGGCCTCGGCGTGGGCCTAATGGTGCGTCGCAGCAGCGATCCCAATCTGCTCGCCTCGCTCAAGGCGGAGGGCGGCAACAAGCGCTGGTCGGCGGCAGCGCCGCACTATGCGGGCGGCGACTCGCCGGAACGACTGATGCTGGACAAGGCCGGTGGCCAGCTGTCGCCACAATGGGAGGAGGAGGACGACTCTGCGGCACAGTTGAAGGAGCAATTGCTGCAACAACAGCAACAGCAACAGCCACAACATGCTGCTGCTGCTGCTGGTGGTGCTGCAACGGGCGCCCATCAGCCATTCGCCCGCTCCGGCCGGCTGTCCATGCAGTTCCTGGGCGACGGCAACGGCTACAAGTGGATGGAGGCAGCCGAGAAGCTGCAGCACCAGCAGCACCAACAGCCGCTGCCCACATCGCTGCCGAACAGCGCCTACTCCAGTAAATCGCTGCCGCGCGAAAGCAAACGCAAGGAACCGCTGGGCCAGGCATACGAGTCCATACGCGAGAAGGATGGCGAGATGCTGCTCATTATTAACGAGTACGGCAGTCCGCTCGGTCTGACGGCCATGCCGGACAAGGAGCACGGCGGCGGGCTGCTTGTGCAGCACGTGGAGCCAGGCAGTCGGGCCGAACGTGGCCGCTTGCGTCGCGAGGATCGCATTCTCGAGATCAACGGCATCAAGCTGATCGGCCTGAGCGAGTCCCAGGTGCAGGAGCAGCTGCGACGCGCCCTCGAGTGCTCCGAGCTGCGCGTGCGCGTCCTACGCGGCGATCAGCAGCGTCGCCAGCAGCAGCGTCGCGACTCCAAGGTCGCCGAAATGGTGGAAGTGGCCACCGTTTCGCCCACACGCAAGCCGCATGCCGCTCCGGTGGGCACCTCCCTGCAGGTGGCCAACACACGCAAGCTGGGCCGCAAGATCGAAATACTGTTGAAGAAGGGGCCCAATGGCCTTGGCTTTTCGGTGACCACGCGTGACAATCCGGCGGGCGGGCATTGTCCCATTTACATCAAGAACATTCTGCCACGCGGCGCGGCCATTGAGGACGGCCGCCTCAAGCCCGGCGATCGTCTGCTCGAGGTCGACGGCACGCCCATGACCGGCAAGACCCAAACGGATGTGGTGGCCATTCTGCGCGGCATGCCCGCCGGTGCCACGGTGCGCATTGTCGTCTCCAGGCAACAGGAACTTGCCGAGATGCCCGTTGGCGTAAGTTCTTTCTCTATTGTCAATCTCCGTCCACGTGAGGTGAAATTAACGTCATTATGTTTGCAGCCGCCGCAACCGGAACCAGTCGAGAAGGCGCCGCCACCAGCTGTGATGGTTCCCGCTTCCGCTCCGATTCCGGTGCAAAAGTCGAGCAGCGCCCGTTCGCTCTTTCAACAGCAGCAGCTGCAGCAACAAGCGCAGCTCAATGAATCTCAGCACTTTATTGACGCGGGCAGTGAATCGGCGGCTTCCAATGTAAGTGATTTGTTCATGAAGTCCGATTGATCAAGTTAAGGTAGACAATAGATTCTAGTTAATTAACTTAATCAACTAAATTCAGCTGGCAGACAGGTTCAAAATGGGTACCGTGTACTAGTTCCAAGGTAGCAAATGGTCCGGTTCCAATGGTTCCCTAACAAGAACTACAAGCTTTAGTGGGCATTGAGTGCATAATTTGGGATAAGAACCAGAATGAATATGCTGTATATCAGCTGAAAGAAGGAACTATTATATTGAGAGCTACTTAAGGGAACTTACTCACTTACTTTTAAGACGAACTAGTTCATCGGCAGTAACTATTCATCAGCAGCAAACTGAAAGGAACTAGATAGCAGCTATGCAATTAGTTAATCAGCAGGAAATAGAAAACCAGCTCATAAGAAGTAATTGGGAAGAACTAGTTCAGAATAAAAGAACTAGTTTATTGACAGTAAATTGGAGAAGTTGTTCATGAGCATTAATTGAAAACTGTTCTCGGATTATTTGGAATTGTTATTTCGAATAGATATAAAAACAGGGCGTGATCCAGCTCATTTTAGACGAAATTGACGTAAGAGAACCAGTTCATTCATAAATTGTAAAGGACTTAAGTACATAAAAAGATCTAGTGCATAGGATGCGGCATATATAGGAAATGCAAATCCGTTCGAAATCGAAACGTTGATGGAATAAGAAAACACAGCGGATCATAAGCATGCGAACTAGTTCATTTCGAATAATAACCCATCATTTGCTCTGCTTAACTAATCCTCTAACTCGTCTCTGGCAACACAGGACAGTCTGCCGCCGAGCAGCAGCAGCTGGCATTCGCGGGAGGAGCTGACACTTCACATTCCCGTCCATGATACTGAGAAGGCTGGCCTTGGAGTCAGTGTGAAGGGCAAGACGTGCTCCAATCTGAACGCATCCACGCCCAGCAGCAGCAGCAACAGCAGCAGCATGAAGCACGACGGTGATCTGGGCATATTTGTGAAGAACGTGATCCATGGCGGCGCCGCGTCACGGGACGGGCGCCTGCGCATGAACGATCAGCTGCTGAGCGTGAATGGCGTCTCGCTGCGCGGCCAGAACAATGCCGAGGCCATGGAGACGCTGCGTCGCGCCATGGTCAACAATCCGGGCAAGCATCCGGGCACCATTACCCTGCTGGTCGGACGCAAGATCCTGCGCTCGGCCAGCTCCAATGATATACTGGAGCACAGCCATAGCCATAGCAACAGCAGCAGCGGCAACAGCAACAGCAACAGCAACAACAACAACAGCAGCTCCAATGCCAGCGACAACTCTGGCGCCACGGTCATCTACTTGAGCCCGGAGAAACGTGAACCGCGCGGCAGCGGTAACGGACCGGGCAGCTCCGGCAGTGATATGAATAGGTAAGCTTCCGAAGATACAATTATCAGAGGTTTTCCCTCATTTGTCGTGAACCAGACGTGACCCGGTGATCCGGTCTGGTTCCTGCTGACGAATCAAACCTGGTGAAAGTCGGCCTTGGCATGATTTGAGTCTCATGCAAATAGTTGTCCGAGCATTCTGCACATAACATCCACTCATGACGCACACTCTCATTTCCAGATGGAGCAATCCCGTTTTGGATCGTCTAACCGGTGGCATTTGCTCCACAAACTCAACGCAGCCAACACAACAACAACACCTGCAGCAGCAGCAACAGCAGCAGCAATCGCAGGCGCAACAGCGCCGTGTGCCTCCGCCCCCGCTGGGCGGCAACAATGCGGGATTGCGCAACGAGAGCTACTATATGGCCACCAATGACAACTGGTCGCCGGCGCCGCTGCAGCTGCAGCTGCTCAATGGGCATGGCAACACGGCGCTGCTCATCGAGGACGATGCGGAGCCTATGTCACCGTAAGTTGCCGCCTGAGGCTTGACTTGGCTCTTGTTAATCTTGTTCCTTATTCGGATTGTTTGCAGCACGTTGCCGGTGCGCGCACACGATGGCCAGCACTGCAACGCGAGCAGCGCGAACACATCGCAGACGAGCGCCGGCATGGGGCAGGGCGTTGGAGTCGCTGGAGGCGGAACGGCAGCCGTGGCGGGCAGTTTCGATGCCACATACTCGTCGCAGCTGAGTCTGGAGACGAACAATTCGGGCGTGGAGCATTTCTCGCGCGATGCCTTGGGCAGGCGCAGCATTTCGGAGAAGCATCATGCGGCGCTGGATGCACGCGAAACGGGCACCTATCAGCGCAACAAGAAGCTGCGCGAGGAACGGGAACGCGAACGTCGCATTCAGCTAACCAAATCGGCCGTCTACGGCGGCTCCATTGAATCGCTGACGGCGCGCATTGCCAGCGCGAACGCCCAAATGGCGGCAGCGGCGGCTGGCTATAAGCACGCCAAGACCAGCTCCCATATTGAGCAGCGGGAACAGCAGTTGCTGGCCGCCGAGGCGGAGGCGCGCGACAAGCTGGGCGATTTGGGTCCATCGCTGGGCCTCAAGAAGTCCTCCTCACTGGAATCGCTGCAGACCATGGTCCAGGAGCTGCAAATGTCCGATGAGCCGCGGGCTCATCATGCGCTGCGCGCACCACGCGGACGCGGACGCGAGGATAGCCTCCGTGCCGCCGTTGTCAGCGAACCGGATGCAAACAGTGAGCAGCAGCGCAGTTTAAACTGATTTCGACTAACCTTTGCAATTTGCTTTCAGAGCCGCGCAAGACCTGGCTGTTAGAGGAGGGCGATCACGAGGGCGGCTTTGCCTCGCAGCGCAACGGACCCTTCCAGAGCTCCCTCAACGATGGCAAGCATGGCAGCAAGTCGCGCGCCAAGAAGCCGAGCATATTGCGCGGCATCGGGCACATGTTTCGCTTTGGCAAGAATCGCAAGGATGGCGTTGTGCCCGTCGATACCTATGCCGCATCCTCGATTATGTCCTCGACGCCGCCAACAACTGGTCAACAGCCCCACCAGGCCCATCAGCATCAGCATCAGCAGCATCAACAGCAACAGCAGCAAATTCCAGCCGCTGCGCTTGCCGCACTGGAACGGAATGGCAAGCCGCCAGCGTATCAACCGCCGCCGCCGCTGCCAGCACCAAATGCAGCTGGCGGCGGTGGAGCAGCCGCATCCGCACTGCCAGGCGTGGCAGTTGCCACCGGTGGCGGCAACGGCGGCGGCGGCGGCACGCTTAACGGTGGCATTCATCAGAATGATATATTCAATCATCGCTATCAGCATTATGCCAACTATGAAGATCTGCACCAGCATCAGATCAGGTGAGAGGCTGCTTGCATTTACATACGACTCCTCATTTCCCATTTGTTATGCTACATTTCAATTTATTCGTTTATATATAAGAGGTGCTGGTTAACATTCAACTAACTTTCGGTGTGTACAAATATTTGTTCTACGGTCTGCTGTGCTAATATGCCAAAGACTTTCAGAGTTAGTTAGAAATAATTTAAATATTTTTTTTATAAGAAATATATTTTTATTATCAGAAAAAGCAGCTAGTGTGGGGTCTGGAAATAAATATCAGAAAAGGTTTTTTTGTTTTTTGATTATTTACAAATATACGCAAAAAGAGAACGAAAACTTCGGAAATTAAAAAAATGTATTTGGGCAAGTTCTGGGCTTCGTAATTCAAAGATATGTTAGCCAAAAGTTATATTTTTTAAATATTATGTTTACAGGTAGCTTAAACAGATCTATTTATGTGGCTATAACTGTTATTCAGTGTTTGTGTATTTATTAACTCGTTTCTGTGTCATATATTTCTCTCTCTTTCTACTCTGTGTACCATGCACCATATATGTTCGTATCTCTCTTACTTGTTCATACACTACTCACACAACAACAACAACAACAACACTGCGAAAACAACACACATCATGTTCATACTCAATATTAATGCATTAACCAACACTGGATACGACAGCGATGGCGTTCAAGAGACGCTCTCGGAGTCGACGATCGAGTGCATGCGACAGCAGGTGATCCGCCAGCGCATCAAGGTTGAGGCCGAAAGGTAACACATACACACAGACACACACACACTCTGACTAACACACATGGTTTTGGATAACATATGCCGCACCACACCCGCACACACACGAACACACGCAGACACATGCAGCCCACATTTGTATTATATGCGAACCTATGCTTTGTACGCTTTTGCAGTCGCCGTCATCAGCATTACCATTCGCAGCGCAGCGCCCGCTCCCAGGACGTCAGTATGCATTCCTCATCCAGCCCACAGCAGCCACCACTGCCGCTGCCCCCATCCGCGGCAGCCGTTGCCGCAGCAGCAGCACATCAGTCACATCAGCAATCCAACGGACTGCGTCCCATGAGCAGCTACTACGAGTACGACACCGTGCAGCAGCAGCGCGTCGGCAGCATCAAGCACAGCCACAGCCACACCCATAGCCATAGCCATGGCCATGGACATCACAATGGCAACTCGTCGTCGCCCATCAGCGTGAATGTGGCACAGCCGCACTGGAAGGCAGCGGCGCTCAATGGCTATTCGCCGGCCTCGTTGAACAGCAGCGCACGCAGCCGCGGACCGTTCGTCACCCAGGTGACCATACGCGAGCAGACCGGCATGCCGCAGACGCAGACGCTGGCGCTGGCGCAGGCGCAGTCGCAGCAACCCACCTATCAGACCGTGCAAAAGATAGCGACAGCGCAGTCGCAATATGGCAGCGCTGCCGGCGCCCAGCCGCATGCGTCCAAGGTGTGACTATAGGTGCTGGCGCATGCGCGCGCCACACGCGACGTCCTCGTGGAGGGCCAGCACGGTCGCCATTCGGAGCTGAGCGAGGTGGAGGTCTTCTACTATGCCACCGAGTGCTGACTCATTCCACTAGGCAGCTGAACGGGCGGGGGACGGAGGGGTTAAAGGTCGCGTGTGAGTCGCAAGCGGCCGGCAAAATGCAAAATGCAATCAACTGGAAAGCAGTTTGTTTATTTTTTTTTTTTGTTTTGTTTTGTTTTATAAATATAAATAAAATAAAATGAATTATAATTTTTTTTCATCATTTGACAAGGGCAACATACCCACACACACACACACCCACACACACACACACGCATACATACATATGCTTATAGTTAAGCTCATTAAAAAATACATTATACAATAAAAGTATTCCACGTGAAGCGCATATTGAAGAGCAGCAAATGTTACTTTATAATATAAAGAATAAATATTCTAATTTCAAATATTAAATTAAAGCAAAACGAAGTGTTAAATTAAAGAAGAAGAAGAAGGCAATGCACTGCGCTTAAATTAAGCTTAACATTTATATTGTATTGTATTAATCGCTAAGTCTAAGTCAAAGACCATGTAAATAATTATTCAATTTAGTTTCTATTGTGCGCGCACTTACGATGAGAGTTAATTGAAAAACGAAATATCATTTCATACGACAGCTGCATTCGAGTCGCAAAAAACTTCATCATAAACAGACATTTGTCTATACACATATATATATATGCTAAATTAAAAGCTATTGGCTTGTATACGAACATTAAAATACACTTTCAATTGTATTTTGGCGCTTTAACTAAGCCAAAATCATGCTGTAAATATATATAACTGGCATACACGTATATATATATTTAGACATAAACATATATTATTAAAAATGTTTTTTTTTTCTCGTTTAGCTTTAAAGCAGACGCCATTTTGTATGCAAAAGTAAAAGTTTAGAAGTAAAACTTGAAAGTCCCAATAATTTTTTTTTTATCTATATATTATGATGATATATCGTATATTGAACTAAGCTAAACTTATATGCTTATAAATATTACTTAATTATGTGTTAGCATAAAGCAAATGTTGTGCAGCCAAAACTGGCTCCGACACACAACATTTGGGCGCTTATCGAGACAACTTCATATTAGATATCGTATAATTATAAAATCATACACATACGCTACATATTGTAATAATTGTGTATTTTGTATATTGCAAAATTCTGTTGCGCATTAAATAACTAAGTTTCAATACTATATCAATATAAGAGCGTTGCGTTTTCCATTTTGTGTGGATCCTTGGATCTAGGCTATGATATACATATACCAATGTATGGATCTGTGGATCTTTGGATTTATAATCTATGATATACTGTATATATATAAATGCGCTATATGATGTATCAAATCTATGATCTCAGTTTTAATTCCTAAGAGTTTAAGCAGATTAGGTCGGGATAACTAGGTATTGTCAGAAGCTTACCCTGTTCATTTTGAAAGTCGAGTAAGAATATGCCCTGGAAATTAATTGTTATCTTAAGAAAATTCGATTTCTGTTCTGATAGTTTTTGTTGATCTTTAAACCCCTAACCCTTGTGTTTAATTTAATTTCTACAAATGTAATTCAAGTAACTGCGATTCCAAAATATTCTTCATCTAACCTTGGCCATCCGTATGAACGTGTTCTTGAAATAATCATTCGAGTATATTCGAATATTGAACGAGTATATCAGTTTTAGTCGATAACTCGCACTATTTCGTATCGTATATACAAATTAAACTTCACTTTTTGGATACCTGCCCCAATAATTATTTTAAAGCTAGAGCCTTGGCTGTGTTTACCACATTTATGCCCTACAAGTTGCATAATGATCGGACTCTGAACAGCGATGCTAATCAAGAATACATTTTGGTCAATTTCGCTCGTCTTCCGAGTATTCGTATCTAGATATCTTTATATCTGGATAACCAGTCTATACATCTATATGTATATGAAAAAAACTATAAATTAGTATTAGGAAAATTTTGTGAACAACTCAAAACAAATATCAAAGTCTCTCATTACGTTGTTGTTGAATTGCCACTGAAATCAAATTTATTAACATATGACGCGTAAAAATGGAAACAGTTAAAGGCATATTTCAAGTACTTACCCCGGAACGCCCGCGGAATATGATTCAACGTGGCTTTGAGTAACTCACGAACGAGGAAGCCAAGCGTGTATAAAAGCCAGATGCTTGTTTATTTGGACACACGCTTGGTTACCTTTGACTTCTTGACTTTGGTATCGGCGGACTTTTTGTTTTGGGCTTGCTTCTTGAGCATTGCCGCTGGTTTGAATCTGGTTGCCACATTGGGAGCTGTGATTGGATTTGCACCGCTCACCAAACGCCTCACGAAACTCTTATTCTTTCGCTGCGTACCAGCTGCTGCTGCTGCAGTTGCTGCTGTTGGCGTGGCCAATTTGGAGAGCTTTCGCGGCTTTGGCAGCTCGACGGGCGTCAGCAGGGTAAAGTTTTTCAGGGAGTCCTGGCTGGGCGTCTTGGTCCACCGTTCGCTGGTTTTGAATATGGGCGAAACTGTTTGGATTCAAATGGAAATCAATGCAAATACTCACTCGGGCATGCCGCTGGGCGGTATTACTACATCCAGGACATTATCAATGAGGCGCGTCTTCAGAGTACAATCGTTTTTGGTCGTCGAGTGTATCGACGGCGATGTATTGATCTCGATAAGCCACGGCTTCAGATTGTTATCGATAATGATATCATAGCCGTAGACCTCAAAGCAATGCCGATCATTGGCCATCACCGGCGCCACAGCGTCCAAAGAATGTCGTATCGTCTCGGAGATGCGGCGAGAGAGCTGCTTTGAGACACCCTCGCCACGTATGCTGTCCAAGTAGAGGCAGAGATTCTGCATGGACCACTTGCCGCCGTGTATCGTATTGTACTCCTTCTGAAACAGGTTATGACGGATCATTTAGCTGGGATCGGACTCCGAATTATACAAAAGATCGACTTACAACATTATTCTTTTGAATGCTAACATTCGTGAGATGCATGAACACGTTGTCGATCTCGGTCTGGTCGTATCTCTGGGTGCAAAATCGACAGAAGCCCTCATTATACAGATATGCCTTTATCGGATTGAATGTGGTCACCAGCACGTAGAGGCGCAGATCGAATTTCTTGCCGCCAATCAAGAGGGGATTATCAATGTATTTGGAGATGACGCAGGTGTCGCGATGAAAGTGCGGATAGAATGTGCGCGCCTCGTAGGCGAATCTCTTCAGCTTGGACAGTTTGTTGATCAAATAGATGCCAACACCTTGCGACTTATCGGAGGGCTTAACAATCCACGTGCTGGCTGGATTCTTATGGAACTCCTCCACAAACAGATTGTAGTCGGCGGGCAGTACAAATGTCATGGGTATTATATCCAGGTGCATATAGCGTGTGCCGCCGATGCCCAGCTTTGTATTATTTGGATGGGTCTCCGCCAAAGCGTCGCCCTTTCGCTCCAAGTCCTTCCGATAGCGTTTGATGTTCTTCACCAACAGATCCTTGCGCGACAGCTCCATCGAGTTGGGGAAATGATTGATCATTCTGCAGGAGTTCTACATTTACATCTACATCTACATCTAGATATCTATATATCTGGATATCTATATGTTCCACATACTCACTGATCGGAACGCATTCGATAGGGATGATCGACCCCAAAGATGTAGCGACAGTTCTGGGCGCACGCCCAATACAGATTCCATTCGCCATCGAAGGCGGGCACCTTGTGCCAGCCCCTTTTTTGGAAATTGTTGATCAGCGCCGTCTTGTCACAGTCGGTGCTATAGTATACACAATGGCGCTCTTTCCGGGGCCAGGGTCTCTCCTTGGACACCAGTCCAAAGACCGGCAAGGGCAGCTTCGTCTTGCTGCTGCTGCTCCTCGGCTCCACATCTCTGTTGTTGCTGCTGCTCTTCACCTTTTTGAATCGACTTTTCATATTTGTAACTCTGTAACTGTGAATTTTCGCGACTTTCAATTTTGAATTTTACGTTCGCTCGAATGTGCCAAAATGGATCTGGATAATTAACTATTCAAAAAAACCGAAATTTTTTTGTGGCTTTTTATATAGAAAATATGTGCTCTATCTACGTATGGATTACTTATAATACTAATTGTTATTTTCTCAATTAAATTTCAAAAATTATACGGCCTGCTGCCTCAATGAAGAAAAAGGATATGAACAGCAAAAAGCTTGGAGCAGAGTTCAGGCCAAAGCATATATGGCCTTCTATTAATATGTATGGAGAGAGAGAGAGAGAGGGAGAGAGAGAGGTACAGGGAGAGCTAGGGGAGAGAGGGATAGCGATGGAGAACATTTTTATTTGTAAGTAGATCGTAGTTCCTACTTAAGAAATGTGGAATCCAGGTCCCGAGCCGAACCCTTAACTAATCCTGTTTTAAAAAAAAAACACCAAAGCGAATCATATTTGTTATACCCTGACCCCATTGAAAATGGGTAAAAAGGGTATAATGTATTTGTGCAAATGTATGTAACAGGCAAAAGAAAGCATCTCCGACTCTATAAAGTATATATATTCTTGATCAGCATCAATAGCCGAGTCGATCTAGCCATGTCCGTCTGTCTGTCCGTCTGTCCGTCCGTCCGTCTGTCCGTATGTATAAACGCAAGGATCTCAGAACCTATTAGAGCTAGAGACTTGAAATTTTAGCTGTAGGTCCTCCTAGTCCCCGTGCAGATCGAGTTTGTTTCCGATATTCGATAACTTGTCCCGTTTCCAAGTAATCGAAATATGAGCTAGAGTCACCAAACTTGACATGTAGCTTCTAGAATAGTATATATATACATATATAGTATTTTTAATTTTATACCTATCGCCTATCGGAAGAAGAGGGTTCAGGGTATCCCCTAGTCGGGAGCTCCCGACTAAAACCTCTTACATGTTTTATAAATATGTTTTTGCTTAGAATAAAAACCTTTAAAGGAAGACCCAGCATGAAAGACAAAGCAAGGTTTTAACTCGAACCTGGATTCGGGCACGTGATTCCTGTCACCGTCCGATTGGATAAGCTTCTCAGTGCTATCAACATAATGATCGATAAATAGGAGCCGATGTTTGTTTCATCTATTTGTGCATTAGCGGATCGGTTAACAAAGAGCTACTTTATATAGATATTGTGCAGCAGTGCATATAGGAACGGGGCAGCTGTGCAAATGCCAACAACTGGGAATCGTGTGTGTGTCCAGCTGATCAAGTATTTGCATGATCGCCGATCATTAGATCCCATTATGCATGGCCCGAAACTTCCTCAATGGGAAAGCGAAAGTGTTAATGCCATTTAACGCCCATTGACAATTACAATGGACGCATTCTCCACGGGTTTGCGCCAAAGATGAGCGCATCGAAGGTTTTTTTTTTCGTTTTTCGTTTTGCCTTTTATTTTTCGGGCTATTAAGTTTGGGGATCCGGTTTGGGTTCTAAGGGTGAGCACCGCGTGTCAGTTGACCACAGCTAAACAAATTGACTTTGACATGTTTGCAGCATTTGGTACTGAGGCCGAGTTCGGCTTGTTGGTTGCTCATCAAGCAATTCACACGTTTGACCAATGTCCGCCAAAAGGGCAACCGGAGGGGCGCCAGAACAATAGTCGGGCATTGTGCCCGCCCTCGACCGTGCTGGCTATAAATGCCCGACGGCGGTCAGCAAAGTTCAACAGTCAGCCAGCACAAGGTGTCCAGTCAAGTGCAGATTCAGGCAGCAGCAGCAGAGCAACATTCGTGGATAAACCCAGCCTCGACTCCGGAAACAACATGAAGATCTATGCTCTAACATTGCCCGTGCTACTGGCGGCCACTCTGGTGGCACCCGGCGAGGCGACCTTCAGCAAGCTGGGCCTGGTGCTGGGCGGCGCTGGTGGCGGCTATGGCGCTGCCTATCCATATGCGGGCGCCGGCTACGGTGGCGGCTACGGCGGTGGCTACGGCGGCGGCTACGGCGGTGGTTACGGCGGCGGTTACGGCGGCGGCGGCTACGGCTATGGCAATGAGAATGTGGTCAAGGTGATCAAGGTATCGGTGCTGCCCAGCGGTGGCTATGGAGGCGCAGGCTATGGCTCTGGTTATGGCGGCGGCTTTGGAAGCGGCTTTGGAGGCGGACTTGGAGGCGGACTTGGCGGCGGCTATGGCGGCGGGCTTGGCGGCGGCTATGGCGCTGGTTACAGCAGCGGTGGCTTTGTTGGCGCTGCGCCAGCCATATCCACATCGGCGGTGGTCACGCCCGTGGTCACGTCCGTGGCCACGCCGGTCATTGCCGGCGGCGCTGGCTATGTGGGCGGCGGCGGCGGCTTTGGCGGTGGCTATGGAGGCGGCGTCCCTCTGACCGCTTCCTATGGCTTTGGCTCTGGCTACGGTGCCGGCGGCGGCTTTGGACTTGGATTTGGTGCGCCTGCTGCTGCCTTGGGCGGCGGTGGCGGCTGGTGCTAGAAAGCGACTTGTTTATATTTTCTTGAATATAAACTCCATTTTTTTTTTGTAACTATAATTAAACGAATGTAATATAAAAAGAAAGAACTTTGTAAGCAATTAAATATGTGAATCGAGCCATTTAAAGTAAACTGTATGCATAGCATTTCGTCAGGCGACGCATTTGTTGTCGATGCCCGCGCAATTGAGTTTCATAATGCGGCGATTACCAAATCTCTGGGCCAACAATACGCCCCAGCCCAAGATGTGCCACAATGCGTTGACCTTCAATGTGAATGGGCGGGCGAGAAATGAAATTGAGAGTAGACTCTAGACGCTAGACTCTACCCGCCCGGCTAGCTGGAGAGCTGCCGGCACGCACAGCAGCAGCCGCATCGCACTCAATGTGGACACATTCACTTAGCTCACAATAGTCAAATGGTAATGAAGTGCCAACCGGGCATAGCCAAGCCCAACCGAAACCAAAGCAACAAAAAATAAAAAGTGGCCCAAGAATAAAGTACGCAACTTGGCTACAAATTGCCGCAAGTCTGTGCTGCGACTAAAAACTTGAAATTCGGCAATGTGTAAATTGGCTATGATTTCATATTTGCCAAGTTCGGCAAATGACGGAGCTGTTTAAAAGCCACAAGATGTACGCTAACTGAACGCTGTCAAATGGCCAAACTTCTAGTTGGGCTTTTTCTTCTCCAATCGAGTTAATCCCATATTTGTCCAGATCCGTTGCAGTCCGGGCTGGAACATTTTTAGACACTTTCTTGAAACGAACCGCTTTGAATAGAGTTTTTTATTTATTTATTTTTTTACCGTGAGCCTAAAGAACAACCGAAACGAAACATAGAAATAAATAGCTTAAAATGGAATTTTTTCTTAAATCTTAAATCGAACCACTGATAATTTGTATGGGCCCTGCTTTTATACAATCATTTGAAATGCACGCATTAAGTTTAGCTACAAACTGAAAGATACTTGATCTGTATATACGATTTTAGAAGCTCTAGCCCTTAAAACCTAATAGATATGCTTAAAGACAGGATTTCGATATCAATTATTATCGATTTATTTGAAGCGTGAAAGTTGGAACATTGGAATGTTATTGATTGTCGGAAACAAACTCATACTGCACGGGCAATAGGACGACTTACGTTTAAGTCTCTAGCTCTTATAGCTCTGATCGGAAGGACAGATGGATAGGCAGGCGGACAAACAGACGGACACGGCTAGATCGACTCGCCTGTAGATGCTGATCAGGTATATACATATATATACTTTATGGGCTCGGAGATGCTTCCTTTTTCGATGGGTTCAGGGTATAAAAAGGGAACTACTCTATTCAAAGGATCATATATAAAATCTTAGCCCGTAAATAAATAGAATACATTTTGTTGGTTTTGGAAGATTTTAATTGCTCATATTTTGTTTAAATCTGTCTTGAATTCGTACGCTAAATGTATTTAATCTCAGTGCTCGTTTCCACTAATTACTGCGATTAACTAAACCAGGTCCATGCTTTAGTTACGCTACCTTTGTGAACTGAGCTAAAACTGAAACCAGTTGATTTCTGTAGCTTGTTAAGGTTATGAAAATGTTGCACGCGTCGCCCAGAACCCGGCGGCATCTGTTGTAAAATTGTTATGCGAATCGATTTGCATACACGTTTTGGCCAAAAGCGAGCCGCCAGCGGAACGTAACTAATGGGCCTTAGGCCCGGGTCCATGGTGGAGCACAATGCGCCCTTTCTGAGCTGCGAACGTGGCTTACATTTCAGACCTGACTTGACTTTCAGTTGACTTGGGATCTGTTTGCACAGCGTTTTGGCCGCTCGGTTAGCACAACGAGTCACAATTTAGCCAGAGCCATAGCCATAGCCCAAAGCCAAGCTGAAGCCAAAGCGGTAGCTACGTGCAGCCGGGCCCAAGATCTGGCCTGAATGAACGGCAATATGAGTGTGAGCACGAGTACGGGCTCCTCTGTATACACAGCACAGAGATCTAGACGAGCGTGTGCGGGTATGTATGTGGATAGATGTGTGCACTGCTCAAAAATATACATACGAACACATATATTTATATTGCTTGCAATTGGGTGCCAAGGGAAAATCCTAATCGCGCGTGAAATGCAAATAAAATGTTTATTGCTCTTATAAAAAAACAACATAAATTTTTATTAAAAATGAATAGAAAAAAACATTTTGAGGGTTGATCAAACTCTGTTATTTTCGTTAAAAAAAAGGCAGAAAAAAATATGGAATTAAAAATTACTAGAACAATATAAATAAAAATTAAAGAAAATAAGAAAAATTGAGATTAGAAAGTTTTGAACTTGCAAAAGCTCTTAAGCATATTGTATATTTCTCTAATGCTATCAATCTTTATCGGGAATCGAACCCATAAAATACACTGCAATCTTAAAGATTCGAAATATTTCAAATAATCAATTTGCTTTTGTCCTACAGAATGCATTATTATTTTGCTTATTTAATGTATAGATATATTATCGATCTATTCTAGGTTTATTCTCTTACAAAATAAAATATTTTGTTTTTTTTTTAAAGAAATTAGATAATATCTATATATAGATATTATTTCTTTCAGTGTAATGGCATTTTGGGAATTACCTGCGCTTCTTGCGAATCGTTTTGACGGCTGACGGCAAACCAAGTTTATTTGCTCAGAGAGGTGAGAAAATATCTCAGTTTATGGTTAAGTAGTTGAGTTGACAGACAGACAGACAGACAGACAGACATATAGCTGGATAGCTAATATAGTTACATACATAGAGATAGATGGCTGGCTGGCTGGATGAATGATTGTATGGATAGCCAGTTAGCTGGGGACGCGCCTTAGTTTTTGCCGTTTTGGTGTGGCCCATAAGTAACTATTTATGAATTAAGCAAACAGCTTGATGAGCTCCAAAGTGTCGCTGCTCTGCCTGCTGCCTGCTGTCAACGTTGACGTCGTCTGTCGATCGGGTCCAGCGCAGAGCATAAGATTTGTATTATTAGAACTACACACACACACACACGCACACGTACACGCACACCATAGCTCGCTAGAGGTTAGGGACAGCGACTCAGTCGCGACGCCGGCTGCTGCGTTGGCCTATAAATTTGTGCGTATCGGCATCTGGGGACATCAGTTGAGTTTTGTCTAGTCCAGAAAGTAGACGCAACCCCCCCAAATAGTGCGCATTCCATTAAAGATGAAGCTCTTCGCTTGTATTGTTGTTGCCCTGTTGGCGCTCGGCACGCCCGCCCAAGCCTTCCTGGGCGCCAAGTTGGCTTTGCTCAGGTCCATTAGCGGCGGCGGCGGCAGCGGCGGTGGCGGTTATGGCAACGGTGGTGGCTATGGCAGCGGCGGCTACTCGGGTGGATACAACCAGGGCTACTACACACAGCCCAGCCGTCCAGTGTACAACAATTATGGCGGCGGCTACAGCAGCAGCGGCAGCAGCAGCAGCAGCAGCAGCTATGGCGGCGGCTACGGCGGCGGCTATGGCGGCGGCTATGGCGGCGGCTATGGCGGCGGCTATGGCGGTGGCAACGAGCAGGTCATCAAGGTCATCAAAGTGGTGGAGCAGCCCCAGAGCTTTGCTCGATCCAGCGGCGGCTATGGCGGCGGTTATGGTGGCGGATATGGTGGCGGATATGGTGGCGGCTATGGCGGCAGCAGCAGCTATGCCAATGCGGGCAGCTACTCTCAGGCCCAGGCTGTGCCTGCTGTGACCTACAGCGCACCAGCTCCAGTTCCAATTACATACGCGGCACCGGCGCCAGTTACCTACTCGGTGCCCGCACCACAGCCCCCTCCGATTACCTACTCGGTGCCCGCACCGCAGCCTGCTCCGATTACCTACTCGGTGCCCGCACCACAGCCCGTGGTGCGTGTGCTGCCGGCGCCCGCGCCCGCGCCAATCACCTACTCGGTGCCCGCCCCGCAGCCCGTGGTGCGTGTGCCCGCGCCCCAGCAGTACGTGAAGACCATCAAGGTAATTGTCGACGAGGACAACAGCGGCATCAACCGTGTGCCCAGCCCAGTCTATGGCGCACCCGCGCCAGCAGTAAGCAGCTGGAGCAACGCTGGCGCCTCGGCGGGAGCCTACAGCAACGATGGCTGGCAGAACAATGGCGGCTGGCAGAACGGCGGTTCCGGCTACAACAATGGCGGCTGGAAGAGCGGCGGCATCTGGGAGAAACTGGCGGCCGGCTGCTAAGCGACGCGGCAATCCGCAAAAACTCTTCTCCTCCCCAACCGCCCTCCCATACGGACTTGTTAAACTATCTAGCCTACGATCTGTGCACCTAAACTTACTCAACTGTTTATACATTTTTTTGTTTTTTTTTTTTTTTGTTTAGTTTTAAATACATTATCGCATACTTCTGCTCCCAATTTTTTCGTTTTCCTGTATTCCCAACCTATCTAATGCTGTGTTTTGGCCAGAATAAAAAGTCAACTTGTTGTGTAATATCCTCAATGAACACTTTTCAAATAGGCGCAAATTGTTTTGACCTTATATGGTTATATAATCGAGAACTTGAATCACATCCGTTGTTTCCCAAGTTGATTTTTCTTCTTTTTTTTTTTGGTGTTTTTTTTTTTGTTTCGGGGTTTTTTTATTTTTTGGTCTTTGGGCCATGGGCGAGCTCGCGGTGTTCTACATAAGTATAGACAACACTTTAAACATATCAGACAATTTATCACCTAACTGCTAAATGTGATCAACTGCGGATGCTAACCAAGCTGCCAAGCTGCCAATCTGCCAATCAGCCAAGCTGCCAACGACAATGACAATGACGTCCAGCTCCGTGGGACAGTTGCGGGCCGTGCCTAGTGCCATTTCGACAGAGATCATGGCAATGTCTATAAATAGAATCGAAACGTCAAAGTTGAAATATTTCTATGCTGTTGAAATCAGTGAGGAAATGTTTAAAACTTTTGTTACAAAATCGATTTCTATCGACATTGTGGCATTGAGCAAATATATCAACAAGATAAAAGCAATATATGATATACGATGGCTGGACGAATATACGAAAGGCGCCAGCTACAAATCTCTAAAATGTATTTAAAAATACTTTGTTATAAAATCGATATTTATCGATTAGGAAATAAGTCAACAATATATGATATACACTGGAGCAAATCTCCAAAACATGCTTAAAAATCATATTCCAAAATCGATATTTATCGATCTTATAGATTTAAGCAAAATAAAGCACCAGGATATCAACAATATACGACATACGATGGATACGATGTTCCAGCTTTAAAACTAAATTATTTTTACAAATGTGTTAATTTAGAAGGAAATGGAAAAGAATTATTTAATCTGCATGTTATGCTCGAATCTACACACCAAGTTTAGTGTAGCTAGCTCTGGTACTTTTCGAGTTGTATAAAAAACCGCGTCTCAAAACTGGCTTTTATCGATAGTTATCAATTTCCCTAAATCGATATCGATATCGATATTGAACGATACCATGAAAATGAGAGATATCGAAACAATGATCAAATATAATTTCAAGTGTCAAACGGACGGATATAGCTAGATCGACACCGTCTGCCTGATCAGGAATATGTTTCAAGTCTTAAGGCTAGATGTATATAATCCGTAAGGGATCGGGAATGCTTTCTTTTGCCTGTTACAACCATTTGCGCAAAAGAGTTTACATAGCAAATTGGCATAGTAAAACAGTATTTTCCAGTTACAAATTTGTTGAATGTATTTTAACGTTCACTCACGTCCATCAATTTTAAAAACGATTATTTTTTGTTTAAAGTTTGCCATGTTCGATGGTTCGGTAAACGCTTCAGGGGCTAAATACGATGCTTTTGTGGTTAGAAACGGCAGCATTGCTATCGCACTGGAACCAGGATTGCACGAATTGGAACCTAAGCGGACGCACATCATTGGGATTGGGGCTAATCTTGCGTTTCTTGGCAGCTATGGAACAATCGTCTGCGCTATGCTTCCTCTTCAAGCAACTAGATCCACGGGCATCGCTACTCTTAATGCTCTCCATCGTTTGTGCTACATGTGGATGGAGGCATATTTGAAAGAGGAACGGCCTAATTATTCTCTGCGTACCGCTTAAATACTTAGAGAATTTTGCCTTTTTTTGGTTTTTCCAAATTAAAAACATTACAAATTTTTAGAAAAATATGTGTCTATGTGTTTTAGAATCGAAGTGAGAATGAAAACTTGAGATGTATGCAGACACATTTTAATGAGCTGGACAGCTGGCTCTAGGCGTACTCGACTTTCCAATACGTTGTCTTATTTAATAATAATAATTATAAAAAATAAATAAAATAATTTAAAGAGCTGAATTTTTATGATAATAACATATGGGAATAGTATTAATTATTTCTACAAAAATATTTATATCAAACAGAAGTCAAACGAATTAATTTAATTTTTGTTTATTAAATTTGTGTTGTGTGTTTATTAAATTTAATTTTTAGCTTACAGCTGCCCGTTCTACTGAAAATATTGCAAGCCATAAATATTTTCATATAGAAATTTCGGGCTAAATTTGATCTATACCCAAAATTGGCATATACTAAGCAATTTTGGGTATATAAGTTTATATAATTTTTATTTTGTATCATATTTGAAGGAGAAAATAGTTATGTTTGGCTTAAGGCTGACCCATTTTTTGGGTAACTGGAAACTTGATATGAATATAAATTTTCTTTTGGCTTGTAGCCTTGTTTGGGCATATTTGATTAATTGTTCTATATAACTTTATGGCAGTCATACTAAATGTTTAATACACTATTAAAATCCATAACACTTATAATATTGTCAATTTAAACACGAATTTTCTCCTACTATGCCATACCTTCTATATCATATGCCTCCTATGCGACAGTTTGGTAGGAAAATGTATACCTGTAAGGGTATTTCATCTTCGGTTTATATTTATAATTAAGATTCTTATTTTTCTGGTAATTCACGTTGCCAATCCTACCACATCCAGGGCATTTGGCAGTCGTATATTCTAAGCTTTGATTGCCATTCGACCTTTGTTATTGGCATTCAAGCGATTTGTTATTGGCATGTTTGTTGGGCAGCCACTTGTAAGCTAGTATCTGGAGTTCTCACGAGCTGATCGGCGTTCGCGTGCGTTGGGGGGTTGGCGCAGACAGAAGAAGATGTCAACGATGAGACCCCAATGGGCGTTCAGCCAAGACGCGACACATCCGCTCAGCAAACATATAAATAACATTTGATTGTCTTTGGTTGACAGTTGCCTGTGGACACAATGTGCAAGCGTGGCGGTTACCTGATGCGAATGCTCCTCTTGCTGGCGCTGGCGGCAGGCGAAGCTCTGCCCCACCAGAAGCAGCAGCAATCGCCGCAGCAGATAAGCAGCGATGCAGCGAGCCAACACCTGGGCAATGGTGCGTATGCGTAATGTGGGAACTATAATCAAAGTGAACTATAATATTTGTTTGTTACACACACACGTCCACAGACTATGGCCCGATAATGCACATCAGCTCCGCCGTGCTGCAGCTGGTGCCCGATGAACTAACGCATTTGGAGCTCTCGGGCCACGGCAGCGGCGGCTCCTCCCACCTCCCAACATACCTCCATGGAGCGGAGCCGCGTCTTAAGGTCAGCGATAATCTGGACTTTCAGGCGCACGGTCCGCAACGTGTACAGTCCCATGGACGCTAGACAGGACAAACAGGATACACATATGACAAACTTAGCTGATTTATTGACAAAAAAAATATATATGTATATATATTGGGTGAAAAAAAAAAAAAAATTTAGCTAGTAGAAACGTCGTCTATCTATCACAGGCTTAGTGCGAATCGAGCTGGTGCTCGAGCACATGCTGCTGATGCTCCAGCTCGAGCTGCTGCTCGATGTGCTCCTCCTCCAGCTGATGCTCCAGCTGGTGTTGCTCATGCTCCTGCCTATCCTTGAACTCGTAGAGCGTACTGTAGCTGAAGGCGCCCTTGCCATGATCAATGCCAGGCACCGGCTGCTCGTCATGATGCTGCTCCAGCTCCAGCTCCAGCTCCGGCTCCGGCTCGGGCTCGTAGTGATGCTCATGATGTTCGCTAGCCTCGGCATATTCGACGCCCGCATCGCTGCTGCCATAGTCCGCCGGAAAACTGTGCTCGCTCAGGTGCTCACCGAGGGCGCCCAGCTGCTCATGATCCGCATGGACACTGCTGGCGCCAAGATCCAGCTTGGCCAATGCCTCGCCGCCGCTCAAAGCGCCCGCATAGCTGCCCAGCAGTCCAGCCGAATGGACGCCAGCTGCCAGCTCGCCACCAATGTAGCCCGCCTGACCGCTCAGTGCCTGGGCCAGCAAGAGGATCAGTTTGAGACGCCAATTGAACATGTTGACTGTGGATTGATTGTCTGGAGCTTTTCTGTGTGTGTTGTGGTTACCGACGCGGCGAAATGGTGCAAGTCGACTATTTTCTTTTCGGCAAGAGCTCTGGCATTTATACGCTGGCTTTTGGCACACATTTTCCTGCATTTTCCAGCTGCAGCAACAACAACAACAACAATAACAGCAACAATATTGAGCTACGCTTTTGTTTGGCTTGGCTGGGCCATCCATGTTGCAATGGACATCTGCCGACGACGACGACGACGACGTCGACGGTGGCAACGAGGCGGCCGCTTAGCTGCAGCTGATAATTTTGTGCACTTATTGTGCAGATTACGTATACGCCAGCGCGGACAACGCGGCCAGCGCAGTCGGCTCGGGCAGCTCACCCAGGCGGCCAGCAATTGAGCCAAGCCAAGCTATGCCATGCCAAGCCAAGCCAGCCGGCTGACCATTGAATAGCCGCAATTATAGGAGGCGCCGACACCAAGCTCAACGCCACCGCAGCAGCTGTTGCAATGTGCGTATACGTAATATTTGCGGTTGGCCCCAGTTCTATGCAGGCGCGCAGCCGCGCAGCCGCGCTGGCTTGCATAATCGAATCATCGTCTTTAGTTTTCTTTTTACCTGCTGTCTATGCTGATCTTTTCAAGGCACCATCGATGCGGAAGCAGCTGCAACAACTCGCACTCACACGCCAAGTGGCAGCTAATTGAGTTGATCAACAAAACGGAAACGGATGGCCAAGAGCGTAAAATAGCGACGAGGGTAGCTCGATCCATGCTGAGCTGGAATCCAGGTATATATTTGGGGAAAACTAAGAGTATTCGATGTGCTTGTGATGCAACCTGTGCAAATACTACCAAATGCCACGCATTCGAGCGGCGGCAACAACCACTTTTGGGGTGGCAATTAAAAGCGTTAGCAGAGCGACCAAAATGCACTCACACAC